ACAAAGATACACAATAGGCTATTTGTGCTCTGCCCACCACGGGTATCGAAACCCGGATTATAGCGTTGTAAGTCCGCAGACATACCGCTGTGCTACTGGGGGACTGGCTGTAAGTAAAAAACAATAAAAACAAGATTGACCAACAAAGGGTATAAAAACTAAAATTAAAGAAAAACATCATATATTCAACAAGAATAAATTGACTACTGTAACGGAAGAGTTAAAGGATTATAGTTGGTGATTATTAGATACTAAATGTTTTCAATATTTACTAATGAAGATTTAAGTAACGTTCCTCATCTTGCATAATTGCTAGACGGGAACAATGTTGAACAAGATAATCACACTAATTCTAAACTTCTTAAGACAAAATTGGGAAGTTTAAAGAATGATAAAGCTCCTGGGCCAAATAATGTTTCCTCTAAAGATGTTGAAGGAGGTTAAGTATTGGATTTCCAGTACATTTCCAGCTTTTATTTTAAAATTTTTGTTTGTTTCTTATGAATTTCGCGCAAAGCTACACGAGGGCTATCTGCGCTAGCCGTCCCTAATTTAGCAGTGTAAGACTAGAGGGAAGGCAGCTAGTCATCACCACCCACCGCCAAGTATTGGGCTACTCTTTTACCAACGAATAGTGGGATTGACCGTCACATTATAACGCCCCCACGGCTGAAAGGGCGAGCATGTTTGGTGTGACGGGGATTCGAACCCGCGACCATCAGATTGCGAGTCGAGCGCCTTAACCACCTGGCCATGCCGGGCCCTTGGATATATGAGTCACTCGCTACTATTTTTTCTACGTCTTTGAGTAATGGATAGGTACCAGGAAATTAGAAGTTTTATGTTATTTCTCGTTTCAATGGCGGTGATAAAAATTGTTCCGGTAATTATAGATCTATTAGTCTTACATCGAGGATGGGAAAAGTTTATGAAAATCTGATAAAAGATGCTTCTCAAAATCATTTAACAAAGATTAAAATTTTTTTAGGAAAACTTTGCCGTGATTATCTTTTGACATTCTCTGGAGAGGTTACTACTTATGTAGATAAGGGTGTGTATTTGGTATATCTGTATTTTCAAAAAGCATTTGACAAGGAACCACATGAAAGGCTTATTAAACAGTTATTTCTATACATGTGAGGGATAAGTTGGCTCATTGGATAGAAAAATAGGTGAACGGAAGAAAGCAGAGACTGTTATTGATAGAGTTTAGTCAACCTGGATTACTGTCACAAATTGGGTACCTCAGGGCTCAGTTTTAGGATCTATGCTTTTCTTTTTTTTTGGTTTAGATCAATGACATACATAAAATAATGGTCAATAAACTGCTTAAATTTGTTGATGATATTAAGGTCTTAGGTGTTGCTGGCTGTGAGGAGGATGCTGCTGGTTTATAAAATGATTTAGACCATGTGGTGAATTAAGTGAATGAATGGCAGATGGCTTTTAATTATAATAAATTCAAGTTAATTCATGTGGGTTATCATAATTTCAATTATAAGTATAACTCTGATGGGAATAACCTTAACAGCGTTATGAAAGAAAAGGACTTTGAAGTTCTGGTGATCAGTCTCTTAAGCCATCCAAGCAGTGTGCTGTTACTTGTAGTATAGTAAATAGGATTTTAGGTTATACCTACAGAAATATTGAATATAAGTCCAGAAAATGTGTAATTTCATTGTATATGTTACCAGTTAGGCCACATTTGAAGTATTGTGTTCAATCTTCGGCTTCTCACCTTAGAAAGGACATTGAAATGTGTCTGGGTTTTATATATGTGGGCTGGGATTTTTTTACACTAGGGGTCTATGACTTGTTGACGATAAATTTGAACAATTAATAGACAGCACACAATCCACTTGTTTTAAAATAACATATTCAAAATAAGTCTAGCGTACAAAACTTCATTACACTAACGTTTATCACAATCACAGTTGTATCAAAAACTCTAAATAATTCTCCTTTCTCGCCAAAAGTCCACACAGGCTGTTTTAATTACTTTAGAATCAAATTGAAAAGACAAAATATTTTTCTCTACTCTGTTTCTTACTGTACAATCTGCTTACCACATTTGTATCCATAACTTTAAATAATTTACTTCTTTACATCAAAGTCCACATAGACGGGTTCAATTACCTTAGAACACATTGTAATAAGACAAATCGTTCTTCTTATCTCTGTTAAACTGTGAAACTCACTTTATATATCGCTCGTTACAGCTAAACTAACAATCACGCAGTCTAACTTCACTTTCACTAACTGAACGTTTTCTGACGTAACTTAACTTGCACTCACTTGGTCGCTTATATGTGTATATATATTGTCCAACTGAAGCCTATAACTTCCTACAAACTAAGAGACACTACGATGTAACAATACTCATTTATAGCAACGAGAAAAATACAGAAGGTTCGTGTAATGTGACGTCAATTTACAACATTTGAACTACGCACACAACTTACGACTCTTACCGAGGTACGTAACGAAATTTGTCATAATTATCTCCTTTAAAATAATTGCTTTTAACACTCTTGTTATGAAACTAAATAATCGTTAAATATTACATCACTAAGTGAACTAAATGTTAACTCTTACACTAAACAGTTTTGTATATCCAACAAATTGTTGGACATGGTTCAGAGGAAGACTACTAAAATGATACCTGAGATGCAAAGTTTGTCATACGGAAAAGAGTAAAACCTCTCAAACTGTTTTCTCTTGAGAACAAAAAATAGACGGTATCTGATTGAGGTCTATAAGATTTTAAGAGAATTGTAGTGTCGATGCATCATCTTTTTTATACTTAATAGTGAGAACAGTAGGATTTGGGGACACAAAGATAAATTTTGGCAGGTTAGGAGTCATCTTCAACGAAGACAGTTTTATTTTTTTAACGTAGTAGTTGGCCTTTGGAATGGGTTGCCTTCAGATGTGGTGAAGACAGTAAATTTAAGGGTGTTTAAGGGAAGGCTTGATAACATATTTGAATGATACAGATTAGCTTTGAGCTTATATATATGTATGTAGTTTGATTTAATGGATGTGACAGTCTAAATGGACTAACAGGTCCTTTGTTGTCTTTAAATGTTATAAATGTTGGGCCATGTCCAGCTCTTAGAATTATTATGTTCATCTCTGAAATAGTTAGGGAGTAGATATGTTCTAATGAAAACTCAAATTGTTAATGCAATAATTTTAATGCAAGTGTAATATAAAAACAAAAATTACAATAATTTGTTTTGGAATTTCGCGCAAAGCTACACGAGGGCTATCTGCGCTAGCCGTCCCTAATTTAGCAGTGTAA